GGCATAGCTGGCTGGCTCTGTCTGCCAGGACGTCCGTGGTTCTGAGTGCCCGTGGCGGGGTGTCTTAGGCTGAATTTGAACCCCAGCCCTGTTCTTCCCCATGTAGCTTTGTAATTTGAGCTCGCTTATCTGCGTGGTGTAGGAACTGATTTTAGGGGCTTCCGGAAACTGTTGTTAGAATTAGCTCTGTGATAGCGAAGTAACGTGAGTGGCACTTGGTATGTACTTAATTAAAAATATATATTTATGTATCTGTTTAAAAGGCAGAGTTACAGAGAGACTGAGGCAGAGAGTGAGAGAGAGAGAGAGGTCTTCTATCTGCTGGTTCACTCCCCAATTGGCTGCAACGGCCAGAGCTGCACCGATCCGAAACCAGGAGCCAGGAGCTTCTTCCGGGTCTCCCACGCAGGTGCAGGGGCCCAAGGACTTGGGCCATCCTCCAGTGCTTTCCCAGGCCACAGCAGAGAGCTGGATCAGAAGAGGAGCAGCCAGGACTCGAACCGGTACCCATATGGGATGCCGGCACTGCAGGCAGTAGCCTTACCCACTATGCCGCAGCACTGGCCCCAAGTATGCACTCAATCAATACACATTAGCTCTTACTGCCCCCCCCCCTTTTTTGGACAGGCAGAGTGGACAGTGAGAGAGAGAGACAGAGAGAAAGGTCTTCCTTTTGCCATTGGTTCACCCTCCAATGGCCGCCGCGGCTGGTGCGCTGCAGCTGGCGCATCACGCTGATCCAAAGGCAGGAGCCAGGTGCTTCTCCTGGTCTCCCCCATGGGGTGCAGGGCCCAAGCACTTGGGCCATCCTCCACTGCACTCCCTGGCCACAGCAGAGAGCTGGCCTGGAAGGGGGGCAACCAGGACAGAATCTGGCGCCCCGACCGGGCCTAGAACCCGGTGTGCTGGCGCCGCTAGGAGGCGCTGGCCCTCTCCCTTTTGCCATCCCTTGATCTCCTCCTCCATCTTCCTGGCCTGGCATTTTGAGACACTGGAAGTTAAGGGCTACATCGACCCCCGAATGATGGAAAATCTGGATTTGGTTTGCTTCTGCCTTACCCATGCCGTAAGGCCTGACCCCCGGGGATGCTGGGGAGAGTCTGAAGGAAGGCCGTATGAGATTGCACTGAGCCGCAGGACGTGGGGAACCCGGGACCAGCCCGCTGGACGGAGCCAGTTCACACGCGGGGACCAGGCGCAGGTGTTTGGCTTCCTGGTTATGGCCCCAGCTGGGAGACCTGCCGCCCATATCAGAGTCTTTGAGTACCCCCCCTCCCCCGCAACATCCTGCGTGGGAGTGCCTGGGCTTCTTGCGAGGGGCACTGCCACCCACGGGGGAGACCTGAATTAAGGGAGCATTTGGGGAGTGAGCCAGTGGGTGGGAGCTTAACTCTGTCTCAAATAAACAAACAAATGACAAGCTGTTCATACAAAGCTGGGAGAGAGGATTTCAGAAACAAACCTGAGCCCCGAACCTCGGGGTCTGGGAGGCTGTGGATAGATGCAAGCGGGATCCATCCTGTTCCAGCTGTGCTCACACCGGCTGCAGAGGTGGGGTCAGGGCGCTGGGTCCTACTGGGGGCTGCAGTGGGCTGAGGAGCCCAGCCTGCCCAGGACCCCCACATCCAGACAGGGACCAGCCCCTTGGAACTGCAGACCTCTGTCCTCTCCCCTCCGTTCATGTCTCTCTGTCTCTCTGTCTCACACACGCTCACACACGCACACACACACACACACACATGTGATTTCTGCGCTGGAGATGGGTTCCTCCACCTGCCTGCCCCCTGGCACTCACACCTCAGGGAGCAAATTGTGGGCCCGTAATTCCCTGCTCCAGTCTCATAATCTCAGTTCCCTCCTGAAAAGCAGGATCAGTGCGGTGGCACAGATCGCCCGCTCTGTGTCCTTGGTGCTGGGTACTGGGAGGCAGATTAGAGGCAGGAGCGCTGCATGGGCCTGCCCGAGGGAGCTCCTGGGCTGGTGGTAAGATGAGGTTGGCACCTGAGAGCCACAGAGGCCCCCCACCCAGAACTCCCCCTGTGGAGGGTGTGGCCGGGAGCCAGGGGACAATCACTGAGCCTGTGACATCAGGGAGACAGGGCATAACCAAAGGAGGACGGATGGCTTCAGTTGGCACTGGGAGGGGGAGTTAGCACCCTCCTGGGGTGGCCTAGGGGGCCGGTGTGAGCAGAAGCGTGTAGGTGTGCACGTGTGTGTGTGAGGGGGAGGCTGAGGGATGGAGGAGGCAGGGTGTGGCAGGGCAGACTGTCCCTAGGAGGGCCCGAGGGCTCCCGTGATGGAGTGATGGTGGTGGCGTAAGTGTGGGACAGCAGCATGGAGTGTCCCACTGTGGGAGCCCCACAGGGCTCTGGGAGTGGGCAGGCAGGACCCTGAGCAGCCGGCGTGTCCTCGTAGGATGGAGCGAGGATGGATGAGCCTGGATTTCATGGGCTAGTGAACCACGGCTGGGTGGAGACAGCTGTTGAGGCTATGAAATGTGGACGCCAGCAGCTGGAAGGCAGGAGAGGGAGACAAGGCAGGCCTGGGGAGGGCTGGGGCAGGGGCCAAGGCTTTGAGACCTCTGTCCTGGCCCCCTCTGCCCCCTGCTCCCACGGATTGAATTATTGTAGAATTATCAACGCTACAAAGTGTTTGACAAATGATCTTGCCTTCCCCTTTTAGGGGGTGAGCTGTGACTTCCCCATTTCCCAGATAAGGCCTGGGACAAGTTCACCAGCTCAGCTCGACAGGCGGGGGTCCTGGGAGGCGGGGTCTCCATCCTGTCTGCCTCTGGCTGCTTCCTAGGGCAGCACCTGCAGGAGCTGGCACCGGGATGAGTGGCTTGGCTCCTGGCTGTTGGCAGCTCTGTGACCCAAGGCAAGTTACTTAACTTCTCTTAGTTTCATTATCCAGAACATGACAGTTCTAATCCTGGTGTTCGTGGTTTGTTACGGAGGATGAAGTGAGACTTATGCAAGAGGAGGGCGGTGCTATTGTAGATTTATGAACCTAAATGTGTTGGGCTTCGAAAAACCACCCTCATCTTCAGTGTTGGTACCTGCCTTCTGCCTGGGTGTTCTCTCCATTCCTGCTGGGGACCTCAGCCTCCCTCCTCCCAAGGCCTTGGTGCCCCTCCAAGCTGCCCAGGAGCTTCTTCCAGGTCTCCCACATGGTGCAGGGACCCAAGCACTTGGGCCATCCTCCACTGCTTTCCCAGGCACATCAACAGGGAGTTGGATTGGAGGTGGAGCAGCTAGGCTCAAACTGGTGCCCATACGGCTTTACCCTCTATGCCATGATGCGAGCCCCCTGTCCACCTTCTAAGCCTGGAATGCTGGAGGGAAGACTCCAAGCTGGGGGTCTTGGGGGTTGGGGGGGGCTTTGGCCTACTTGTATAATTCTCCTGTGTCTTGTGGGCCCGGGGGAGGGGGCCTGGAGGGGACCCGAGGGGACACACCTTTCCCTCCAGGAGCTCAGGGCTGGGGGGTGGTGGTCGTGGCGGCATTTTCCTAGGTTCCCAGAGACTGTTCTGCCCCGTGGTGTGGGACCCGTCACCTGGAGGTCAACCCCCCAGGAAAATGAGACAGGGCTTTGCTTTTCCTGTTTGGGGCGTGTGTGTGTGTGTGTGTGTGTGTGAGAGAGAGAGAGAGAGAGAGACAGAGAGAGAGATGGGGAATGTGAATCCATGGAGATTCTATCACATTTCTCATTTGTCTTAGCAGTTACTGAAGAAATCTTTTCTAAAGGCTTTCTTTGGCTGAAATTAAGCCCATCTCCTTAGTGGCGGTATTATCTAAAGTCCAGGGCCTGGTTCAACGTCTTTTATAAAAGATGTGCCCGTGTGTGGTAGGGGGAGGGAAGGAAGGGGAGGAAGGAGAAGAAATGTAATGGCCCAGCTCCTGGCCTTAATTACCTCTAAGCCCTGAATGTTCTGAACTTGATTAACCTCCTAAGTGTCCATGGGCGTGGGTGGGCCTGGTGGGTTTTGCTCCTGGAGGGTCTTCTGCCCCCACCCCCCGCCATCCACTGCACACTGCGGATCCTGGCTACAGGTGGCACTGTGAATCACACCTCCCTAGGCCAGGAGTCTCACTGGCTCCTTCTCCCCAAACCCCAATAGGCTGTGGCCAGCACCGCATTTTTGGATAACCCGCTTAGCTGTTTGGGCGGGAGGGGCTCCTGTGCAGAGTGCCCGCTCCTCCCCAGGTCTTACTAATTGCAAACAGAGAAAGCCTCCCTCCCCTGTGAGCCTGTCCCCGGCTCCCTGGCTTGCTGGAGGGAGCCGGGAGCTGGGGGATTTGAGGTGCAATTTCCTGTATCCTTTTCATTTCCTGCTGGGGGTTGGGGAGAGCTATAAGCAAGGTGGGTGGCTAGGGCTCAGAGGCCGGGCAGGTGGGGGATGGGCAGGGAGGCTTCCTTGCACACACTCTTCTGCCCACCTCCAGGGGAGTTCCTTGGGCCCCTTCGGATCCTCCTATCTGGTTCTCCTACCCGGTTGAGGCAGGGAGACCCAGTAGTGAGCAGGGGGAGATGGCCCAGGATAGGTGAGGGGCCAGGAAGGGACCTTAGCCATCCACTGGACCCTCCCAGGTTTCAGACGAGGAAATGGAAGCCTTGGTGAGGGTGCATAGTGTCCCCGGTGGTCGCTCTCTAGTGGTGGGCTGGTGTATCTGGGGTTTGCCTGCCTCTGGCATGGTGGGTGTCAGGTCAGTGACTGCAGGGTGTGAGCTGGCGAGGGGGGGACCAGAGGCACAGCAGGCAGTGGGACTCTAGGGAGGGCTCTGGGCAGCCAGGGCCTGTGGGAGCGCCGGGTGGTCCTAACTTAGGGAAGAATTTGGGAGTTGTTTCCGGAAGCAGAAGCATGGGGGGAGGGTAGGCACTGTGGCCCTTGTGAACTATGAGCCCTGCGTCTCTTACCCTCTCCCGCGTCAGAGGTGGACCAGGTGGGGGAGGGGTCCCGGCAGAGGACAAAGGAGCCAATTATTGAGTGGATTAATTGATTAATTGTCTGGAAGCTTCCAGTGCTCCTCCAGCAATGCCATCCCCTCCCCCGACCCCAGCCAGGCATGGCCTCGGTTGGCCTGGATTATTAATTAGGGCTTGGAGTCATTTAACGATGATTTCATTATCGACGTGCTGTCTGTCTCGGGCTCAGCCCGGTTGCCAGGGCGACTCTGATCGATTGCCTTCCGGTCTCCTGCCTCTGCCCAGCCTGGCTGTGGACGACACCCCCTAGCGGCCGACGCTGGGATTGCAGAGCATCCAGGGCAAGGCTCGAAAACCGCCCTGGGGCAGAGGTAGGGGACGCGGGGTGGGGGCGGGGGGCTCCTGCAGCTGGTCTGGGGCTCGGGTTGCTGAACTGTGGCCCCTGTTCCGGATGTACTGACCTACATGGCTGCTTCCAGGGACGCTGGGGATCTGTCCTTGTCCCTGGCTTGTGAAGTTCCTCTGATCCTGCCCCCTGGTGGCCTTCCACCCACACACCACTTTGGGATGGCTGTAGGAAGGGGTGGCGGGCAACCTCAGTTTAGCCCCGAGGCCTTAAGCCAGCGTTAAAGCCCTTCCCGCTGCTACAGGGACTCCTGGGCTCCAGATGCAAGACTCCCAGGCTGTTGGGTCTGGGTTGCGCGTCCAGCAGGCTAGTGGGGAGCCATTCCCTTTTAGCTTACCCGTGTTGATGTTCTTAGGGCCTGCCTTGGCCGGTCTTTGCAGTGCTCGGCTGCTCCCTCAGACTCAGGGAAGCCAGGGCGAGGGGAGGGGGCAGGGTTCAGGTTGCCATGCCGTCTCAGGTCTTCTAAGAACTTGCTGCTTGCTCCCTAACTGGCCTGTTAAAGCCTGGCTCCGTGCGTGCACACTTCTCTCCGGATTCTATGCCTCGGTCTCATTGTGGGGGCTTGTTAGTGGGGTGTTGCTTAAAGGCAGAGCTGGGGCCATAAAGCTCTTAGGAAAAAGGGTTCAGACTGGGGGTGGGGCTGCCACTCAATGTGACAGCTCAGGAGGTGTCTGAATTGTTGACCCAAGGGTGATGGACAGTCATTAGTCTTCTGTGTTGCTTATGCTTTTTCTAAAAAAATTCTATTTATTTTCATTTATTTCAGAGAGAGTGTCTTCCATCTTATGGTTCATTCCCCAAATGCCTGCAGCAGCTGAGAGGGGCCCAGGCCTAATCCAAGAGCCAGGAACTCCATCCCGGTCTCCCAGTAGGTAGCAGGAGTCAAGTACTTGAGCCATCGCCTGCTGCCTCCCAGGTGTACATTAGCAGGAAGCTGGATCGGAAGTGTGGAGTAGCTGGGACTTGAACCAGGCACTCCCCTGTGGGGTGCGGGGGTCCCAGTATGCCAGACGCCCTCCCCTGATTTTGCTTCTGGGTTGCATGCTGCTTATTTAGCTCACAGATGCAGACATCCCCCCAGTCCTTACGCCCTCAGGTCTCAGTGAGCCCTACGCAGTCCATCCCCAGCGCACCACGCCCCCCCCCCCTTGGGTAATCTGCTTTTTTTGGCCCGCCCCTCCCAGGCTTTTTTTCCCCCCTAAAAACCAAAAGGCCCCAATCACCCCCCGGGGGGGGGGGGTGCGGCAGGTAGGGCTGTGTCTGCACGCGGGCTGGGGGTGGGGGTGTCTCTGAGATCCACCCCCTCCCAGGGCTGGCGCTGGGAGAGCGCCTGGGTGCAGCTGTGGCTGCAGCTTCACCCCATCAGCTTTCCGGGCACATCCGCCCCTGAGCTGCACCTGAGAGGGAATGGCTCAGGAGCGGGCGAGTGAGATTGAAGAGGATCATAAAGAAAATATATATCCCCTCCCCGGCCTCGCTCCCCCCTCCTCTCAGCACTCGCCTCCTTCTCTCTCTTTGTCTCGCTCCCTCCCCCTCTTCCCACCCTCCGTGGTTCCTTTGTTCCTCCTTTGCCTCCCTCACCTTCCTGTCCATCCATCCGGCAGGCAGGTCTGTTTGTCTGTCTGTCTGTCTCTCTCTGACTCCAAACACATTTTGGCCTGGATTTTTCCAGGGTCATGTTCACCGTCAGTCCCCGGCTGTGTCCCCCCTCCCCTGCTGGCTCTGTCCATCTGAGGGTCCCTCGTGCCCTCGTGTCTGTGTGAGTTGCACTGTCTCGTGCACATCCCCTCCCCTCCCCTCCATCTCCAGTGGCTGCCTCCCCCGGCCCTGTTCCTGTCCCTTGCTTTGCTTCTCTCCCTGTTTGCTTCTGTCTCTGTCTCTCTCTCAGCCTCTCTCCTGTCTGGGGCTGCCGCACCCCTGCCAGCCTCTCCTTGTCCCCCTCCTACCCCTCAAGGTTCAGACACTTGCTGTGAATCACCTGGATAGGCTCCAACTGTCAGTCCCCCCAGCTTGCACCCCCTTCTCCCCGGGAGATTTACGACCCCGACTCTGCCTCCTCTGCAGTCCCCCCCAGGCACGAGCCAGTTCTGTTCATTACCTGGTGATTATCTGGGGGCCCGGGCATTTCCCACCCTCCGCCCCGCAGGCACTGAACAGCACGGGGAGAGAAGGCGAGGGATTGCTCCTGGGCCCCCCACCCCGCCCCGCGTGCAAGGACACGGGACCCTCCCCCGTGCCCGCCCCTCCTGCCCTGAAGCAGTGCACATCTGGGAAAATCCCAGCTTGAGGCAGGGGAGACGGCCCAGGACTGTTGGAAGCGACATAAATCAAAGAGCCAGATGCTGCCCCGCTGCCTGCCCTGCAGCCAGCCTCCCATGCCTGCCTGTCGCCTTCGCCCGGGAGGACTTGGGGCTCTAGTGCCACCCCTGCGCGACTGAGGGGCCCATGCCCTGGGGATTCTCGGGTCTCCCTTGGTGGTGGCGGGCTCTTCACCCTGCTCTCAGTGTTCTGTCCTGGTGTCGTTAGTGTAGATTCTGCCTCTGCGGGTCCTACCTCTCTCCTTGCTCTCTGCCCCGTCGCCCTGTTGCTGGGTCCTTCTCGCTCCCTGTGGAGGGTCTGCCGGATTGGCCGCCCTCTCGGGACGAGGCAGAGCCCTTGTCCCTGAGGCTAGCCCCTGCTCAGGCTGCTGGCTTGTCCACTTCCCTGACAGTACCAGTCTTACCCTTGTTTGGCAATTACCATCTGGGGAAGGCGGACACAGCGTCCTTGGGGCGTGAGTTTCAGGGTCTAGAACGTCCCACTTTGTCACTTGTGTCCACCCTGGAGAACAGAAGCCTGCCTGCAGGGACTGATCTTTTTTCCTTGTTACCCCCTCCCCACTGTGATGCTACTTGGTTGTCACACACTGTTCACGGATGCTGTGGACGCTGAGTGACTTTCTCAGAAAGCGCACCTGGAGGAGCCCGAACCCACCCTGCCTTTTTAGCTTGACTTCTGGGGTTGATGTGATGGGACATGTGGGTGGGTCCTAGTGCAGTATTTTGGGAGAGCTTGGAGGACCAAGGATTCTATCCTAATTTTTATTATTTTATTTATTTATTTATTTTTTATTTGACAGGTAGAGTTATAGACAGTGAGGAGAGAGAGAGACAGAGAGAAAGGTCTTCCTTCCGTTGGTTCACTCCCCAAGTGGCTGCTACAGCCGGCGCTGAGCTGATCTGAAGCCAGGAGCCAGGTGCTTCTTCCTGGTCTCCCATGCGGGTGCAGGGCCCAAGCACTTGGGCCATCCTCCACTGCCCTCCTGGGCCACAGCAGAGAGCTGGACTGGAAGAGGAGCAACTGAGACTAGAACCCAGTGCCCATATGGGATGCCGGTGCCACAGGCGGAGGATTAACCAAGTGAGCCACGGTGCCGGCCCCATCTATCCTAATTTTTAAAAAAGATTTGTTGTTTTGTGTGTGTGAGAGAGAGAGAGAGAGTGAGAGAGAGAGAGAGCTTCCATTGCTGGTTCACTCCCAATATGGTCACAGCAGCCAGGGCTAGATCTGGCTGAAGCCAGGAGTCTGGAACTCCACCTGGATCTCCCAGGTGGGTTCAGGAGCCCTACCACCTGGGCCATCCTCTGCTGCTTTCCCAGGTTGGATTAGCAGAGAGCCAGATGGGGAGTGGAGCAGCCGGGACTCACATGGGCTGCTGGCGTTGCAGGTTGTGGCTTAACCCACTGTGCCACAGTGCTGGTCCCTCTATCCTCAGTGTGAAGCCTCCTGAGTGGAGGTTCTCTCTCCCTGTATCTGAGACTAACCCCCGAATGGCTACAGGTGAGGCCCCACCCCCTCCAGCTGATCAGGAACTCCTCCTTCCCCGGTCTGCACACCCCCAGGACACCTGCTCACCCTCCCGCCAAGCTCAGAGTCCAGACTCCACCTCCCTGCCCCAGCAGGCCTGACCCTGCTGCCACTGCCCACCCGGCTTTCCTCCCGGGCTCTGGCCTATCCCACCTCCCTCAGTCCTTCTGCTCCCGCCGGGCCCTGCCCCGGAGAACCTCCCCGACCCCAGGCCTCACCAGAACCGATGCAGAGCCCGAGGGGAGCAGGGCTGAGCCCAACGTGGTGCTGGCAGGGAGGGTTCCGGGGTGCCGGGCGGCCTGTGGACTGGGGAGTGGTGGGCCTGGGGCGGTTTGGAGACCTTAGCCTTTCTGTAGGTCCTCCCCTCTTCTTTGTCGCACCCCCATTTTCCCGCCTTTCGTCTCTCTCAGGGTGTGTGTGGAGCTGGCTGCACTCAGCTTCCCTTTCCCACAGGGCCCAGCACGTATTCTGAATGAAGGAAGACTTTCCCACCCGGGCCGGCTGCCTCCTTCGGGTTTTGCCTCGTTCTCTCTCCGGATCCTGCACCTGTCAGTGTCTCTGCCTCTCGGAGCAGGTGCTGATGGCGGGCGAGGCGAGGATGAGGTAGGTGGTACCCAGCTGTGGGCGAGGACCCAGGGGGAAGTGTCTTCACAGCTGCTTCAAGTAATGGTCCTGTGTTTCTTTTGTGACTTGAAAAAGCAGCGGTGGCTGAGGGAAAGATGACCACATTCTGCTGGGCTGTGGCTGCCTAGCAGTTTCTAAGATGCTGTAAGGGGGCCGGCGCTGTAGGTAGTGGGTAAAGCTGCTGCCTGCAGTGCTGGCATCCACATGGGTGCCACCGGTTTGAGTCCTGGCTGCTCCTCTTCTGATCCAGCTCCCTGCTAATGAGCCTGGGAACGCAGTGGAAGATGGCCCAAGTGCTTGGGCTCCTGCACCCATATGGGAGACCAGGAGGAAGCTCCTGGTTCCTGGCTTCAACCTGGCCCTGCTCCAGTTGTTTTGGCCATTTGGGGAGTGAACCAGCAGATGGAAGACCTCTTCTCACCCCTCTCTTTCTCTGTAACTGACATTCAAAAAAAAAAATGCTGTGTAAGGGCTTGTCTCACATCCCAAGCATATTGTATATGAGCCAGTACTCAATAAACCTCGAAACTTGATGGCTGTCTCCTCTCTCTCGGAATCCATCGATTTTATGTGCATGATAGGCATAGTTATTGATTGACAAGGGCCTGGCACAGAAGCTTGAAGTGAGACCGCCTTCTTGGGTCTCCGAGAGGCCATTTGCTGCTGCCACACAAAACACCACCAAAACTTTGTAAGTCCTGAGTCCGTTGGCGTCTAAAGCTGCTCTCCACCCCACACACGTGGTCAGCACCCCGACACCAGAAGCGCAGACAACACCTCTCCACGCCTGACACCTGCTTTATCGTCTGCACGTGGCAAATGTCGACGTCTCGGCCGAGTTGCTCTAGCCCTCCAGCACGTCTTGGGCGACTTCTCTCCATGATCAGTTACCACGTGACGGGGTTCTGAAATTTAAGTAGAATCAGCTGGAAAGTCCCATTTCCTTCAAAAAGTATATTCCCAGTGAGCAAAAAGTGATTTCTGAATTCTGTCCTTTTGGTTTTTCCCCTGTCGCTTTTTTCTTTTTCTTATCACAGAAGTCACGAGGCAGATGGGACGAGAAAGAACCCAGGGCCGAGGGTTAGGAGGTTGGGGTGCTCGAGTGGGGGGTGGGGAGGCAGGGGTCTTGCTTGGGGATATTTCATATTGATCTGTATTTGGATAAGAACTCAAGACCCTGAGGCACACATCAACCTGCTTCTGGCTGAGATGAGCTGGTGTTTTTTTCTGAAAAATAAAAACAAAACTGACCTTCCAAGGGCAATGGTGGGAAGGTGGAGCAGGTGCCCGGGGAAGGAAGCAAGCAGTGTTCCCCTGTGACAGGCGACAGAGAGAGAGGCAGCCGATAGCGTACCTGGGAGGGCAGAGCAGGAGGGTAGCCAGAGAGAGGGCTGTGTGCACTGCACTGCACTGTCTGTGGGTGTTGAGAGCCTGGAAGAAGAAAGGGGCCACGGGCTCTGGCCGCTCACCCCTGCTGCTCTGAAAGACAGGCTGCGGTCGCCAGGGACCCTGGGTGGGTTTCTGCACTCTGCAGGGTGGGAGGGAAGAAACAGGACCGAGGCTTCTCAGCAGGAACTCTTGGAGGGAATGAGTGTGGGTCAGGGCTGGCCGGATGCCAAGGCCCTCGGTGTGGAGAGTAAGGTGGGCGCCAAGACGCACTTCCTCCCGCTGCTGTCTTGGGAGGACTTTTCCCGGGAGCTCTGGATTGAGCCGAGGGGAACAGAGAATCACGGGGTGGAAAGGCGAGAAGAAATGGGTTTTCACATTGACGTCACTCTGAGCACGTCAGGGCACCTTTGGAGTGTCTTCATCTTTCACACCTTTGGGGCTTTCCCCTCTCCTTCCTGCTTCAGACTCCCCCCGTCCCCCACCCCGTGATCACTCAGTTCCCCAAGGGCGCTAGGAACAGCTGTCCAGGCTCTCCTGAGTTGGCAAGGTGAGTCTCTCTTTTCTTGGTGTGATGCAACTGTTAAGATTTCTCAACCGAGCCTGTGACTGCGTCCAGTCCTAGGTGGAGAGACTTGGATCGGACTGTTCCTCTCTGCACTTCTTCCAAAGGTCTTAGCAAAAAACACTGGGTGCACGCCTGGGGGTCCCCCGGGATGGCACCAGCTAAGGATCGCCGTGTGAGTCCGCGTCTCCTTCTTTGACTAAAGTACCTGGGAGGAGCTTCTGGGGAAAGCAAAGGTTCATTTCCACGTACAGTTTGGAAGCTGCGGTTCAGGCCCGGACAGCCCAGCAGGCTGGCATTTGGCGGAGTCTGGTTATGGCAGGTGTGGGGAAATGACTACATGGTGGGCCAGGAAGCAGGAAGGCCGACTTGAGCTCGGATGATAACCTTCCGGCGAGAGCCGCCCTCCCAAGGCAGGACTGCAGTGACTGCCCCTCGCCCACGCTCCACCTCCCCACCTCCCAGCTGCCACCCTTATCCATCAACCATCAACCTTAAGACCTCAGGGTTTAAACATCCACGTGAGTTTCGCAGAAGCGAGTTCCACTCAACCCCCAGCAATTCTCTCCCAAATAGTGAAGCTGCAGGCAGCAGGGACTCCATAAATATGGAGGAAAGGAAAAAAAAAGTCTTCATCTGGATGGATTTTGTCTACATCTTTTTTTTTGGAGGAGGGGAGTCAGGGAGGGTTGGGGGAGAGAGAGAGAAAGAGGAGAGAGAGAGAGCGAGCAAGCACTCTCATCTGCCTGCCACAGCCCTTGGGGGCTGAAGCTGGGAGCCAGAAACTCAATCCGGGTCTCCCATGTGGGAGGCGGGAGCTGTCACTGGAGCCATCACTGTTGCCTCCCAGAGTCTGGTTAGCGGGAAGCTGGAGTCAGGAGTCAGAGCTGGGTACTGAACCGAGGCACTGCAGCGTGGGACATGGGTGTCTTACAACCATCAGACCAATCAGCAGCCCCGTCTCTATCGTTTTGGTGCACATTTGGCTGGGAAGGTTTCGGTCTACCTGGGAGTGGGTTTTTGGCCAACTCAGACTTCAGCCTGTGTCAGGCAGAGGGGAATTAGAGAGGTGTAGGCTGGGAAGTGGGAAGGTGGGGAGGCAAACTGGATGGGGAGCAGGCGGTTTGGGAGCTGGGGTGGCTTTCAAGTTCAAGGCTTGGTGGCAGCCAGTAACATTTATGGAGGTTTACAGTTTAGGGCTTCCGTAAAAGAACACGAAGCAGCTTCTACCCTAAGGAGTTTTTATTTTGGAAAGGGAGACAAAGTATTCTCCCAAGTAACACTGACACAGAGCGCAGTACAAGGTGGGTTCTGGATGGGAGAGATGCCTGGTAAGCAGTGAGCCGGGGTCCTTCTCCAAAGACTCCTGGGAGATGAGCGTGGAGATTTCTTTTCTTTAGCCCCAGCCGCACTTGGTTACTTCAGCTTTCTTCCCAATCTTCCAGGGAAACTGCTTGGCTTTCCCCAGCGGAGAAGTAGCACACGAATTACTATGGAAACGGTTTCTTTCTATTCTTTTTCTATACTGCCCAAGACTGAGAATTAGTATATATTTTAGTATCTAGATCTGTATTAGTATCCATTGTAAATATATTTACAAATCTCATTTCTTTGAAAGGCTGAGTTGGTGGGGGTGGGATTGAGGGGGAAGAGAGAGAGAGAGAGAGAGAGAGAGAGAGAGAGAGAGAGAAATACGTTGCATTCACTGGTTCACTCCCCAAATGCCTGCAGCTGTCAGGGCTGGGTAGGCTGACGTCAGGATGCCAGGAGCCGGGATCTCCATCTGGGTCTCCCACCTGGGGGCAGGGACCCAAGTACCTGAGCTGTCCCCTGCCACCCCAAGGATGTGAAAGAGCAGGAATCTGAATGGGAAGCAGATGAGACACTTGCTCCCAGGCGCTTTGCTCTGAGATGTGGGCAGCCCGCCACTGCCGCCCCTGGGGCGAACGCTGAACTAGACCTGCGTAGTGGGCAAAGCTGGTCTTACTGATTTGAGAGTGTGTGAGGTCCTTGATTTGGGTGGGCGGCACGGGAGCAGGGCCTCTGGGAGGTTTGCTTTGTTGGACGGGAGCCCAGGCGTCACACCCGCAGGATGGAGTTGCAACGGATGCTTCCCAGGGAAGCGGTGTGACCAAGCGCCCCCTACGGGGCGGTTCACCCCTCTTCCACGCAGCCTTCTCAGACTGCTCTGAGGTGTGCTTGGGCCCCTCCTCCATCTTGTGATGCTGGAAAATGAAGCCCTTACCACACATGTCGCCTGTCAACTGGGATGTCATCTGGGATCCTGAAATGTGCATATATTTGGTGGGAGTGTCTTACTGTTCTCTTGTGGTTTAGGATTACCCTGAGTGGCTCTCCTTCACTTGCTTTGGAGAATGGGAGCGAGTGAACGAAATACCCATCATTGTGAACTCCCAGAGATGGGGGTTCTGTGTGTGCCCCGAATTGTCTTGCATGGTGTCTTGCACGTATTTATTACGTGTGTGGTGGTGAGGTGGCGATGTTGGTGGTGTTCATGACTGGGGGGGGGGAGAAGATGTTGCTTTTGCTTGAATTCTCACGCAGGAAGAATCATTTCTGTGCCTGGATTTTCTCCTTTGAAATGAACCATCCTAGTCACTTTTCACTGGGTTGAAATCTGAAGTTTCTCTATTTATTTGCTTATTTGAGACGTCTACACATCTGCACAGAGATAGATATGGATAGATGGATAGATCCATCTGCCGTCCAAGGGGTTACTCCCCCAGTGTTGGCTCCAGCAGGAGTGGGCCAGGCAAAAGCCAGGAGCTGAGAATTCAGTCCGCGACTCCCAAGTGGGTGGCAGGGACCTACATGCTTGATCCGTCCCTGCTGCCTCCCGTGGTGTATTTTAGCAGGAAGCTGGAATTGGGAGCAGAGCCAGGACTTGAACCCAGGCCTTCCATTATGGGATGGAAGGTGTTCCAAGTGGCATTTTGATGGCTATATCAAATACCTTCCCCAAATTTCTCTCTTCAGACTCACCTTGAACTTAACAGAATGCAAATGTAAATGTATCCCTAGGCACTGCAGCATGAATAGTAGCACATACAGATGGTAGTTTTGGGAACCATACAGTATAAGGCCAGTATGGGGCAGGCACTTGGCAGGGCAGCTAAGACACCGCTAAGGACGTCCGCACTTCATGTTGGAGTTCCTGGTTTGAGTCCTGGCTCTGCTTCCAATCCTTGGGAAGGGAGCAGGTAATGACGCAAAGCTAGACCTAACCCTGGCTGTTGTGGGCGTTTTGGGGGAGTGAATCAGTGTGCAGGAGCTCTCTCTTTGTCTCTTTCTGTCTCTCTGCCTTAAAAAAAAAAAAAGCAAGGACAGGGCATGGATACACCCTTTGTTCCCAGTTAGAAATCCCGGTGCAGACAACACCCAACCCCTCTTCCTTTCCGGAGTCCAGGCCTGGATTTAGTCATTGTGGTTTGGCATAGTCTCAGATTGCCAAGGCAAAGCGTTTGGTGACTTGTTTTCCAAACTAAATAAAGCAGTGAAAGAAGTGAAACCCTGTGTTGTTCGTCCATTCAGGCCTTGGGCATCAAGGGGACAGCACTGGGCAGGGTGACACATGTCACAGATGACGTACGCTGCCCCAGCCAGTTTGGGTTCCCTCCTCTCCATTTCTGCTCAGTTGTGGCGGAAGTGACTCACACCTGTGTTCTTGCTGCAGATCCCCGACGTTGCCAAGTTGGGTGGAGGGTCGAGGGTCTTCCCCTCTCCCCACCCCTGCTGTGGCCAGTTAATTAAGGCAGGGCAAGCAGGAAGCTTCCTCGGGCAGAAGCCAGGCCCCTCCGTGCCCCCTCACTCCTGCCTGGCTAGCGTTCCAGGCTGGTGGCTTCTGCCGTTCTTTTTTTTTTTTTTTTAATATTTATTTGTTTGTTTGTTTATTTATTTGAAAGGCACAGTTACACAGAGAGAAGGAGAGGCAGAGAGAGGTCTTCCATCTGCTGGTTCACTCCCCAATTGGCCTCAACGACTGGAGCTGTGCCGATCCGAAGCCAGGAGCCAGGTGTTTCTTCCAGGTCTCCCATGTGAGTGCAGAGGCCCTAGGGCTTGGGCCATCCTCCACTGCTTTTCCAGGCCATAGCAGAGAGCTGGATCAG